TTCTTGAAGAGATCTCTAGACTTTCCCATTCTATTGTTTTCCTCTATTTCTTTGCATAGATCACTGAGGAAGGCTTTCTTATCTCTCCTTGCTATTCTTTGGAACTCTGCATTCAAATGGGCATATCTTTCCTTTTCTCCTTTGCTTTTCGTGTCTCCTCTTTTCACAGCTATTTGTAAGGCCTCCTCAGACAACCCTTTTGCCTCTTTGCGTTTCTTTTCCTTGGGAATGATCTTGACCCCTGCCTGCTATAGAATGTCACGAACCTCCATCCATAGTTCTTCAGGCTCTCTGCCTGTCAGATCTAATCCCTTGAATCTATTTGTCACTTCCACTGTACAGTCATAAGGGATTTGATTTAGGCCATACCTGAATGGTCTAGTGCTTTTACCTACTTTCTTCAATTTCAGTCTGAATTTGGCAATAAGGAGTTCATGGTCTGATCCACAGTCAGCTCCCGGTCTTGTTTTTTGCTGACCATATAGATCTTCTTCATCTTTGGCTACAAAGAATATAATCTATCTGATTTTGGTGTTGGCCATCTGGTTATCTCCATGTGTAGAGTCTTCTCTTGTGTTGTGGGAAAAGGGTGTTTGCTATGATCAGTGCGTTCTCTTGCCAAAACTCTATTCGCCTTTGCCCTCTTCATTGTGTACTCCAAGGCCAAATTTGCCTGTTACTCCAGGTGTTTCGTGACTTCCTACTTTTTCATTCCAGTCCCCTATAATGAAGAGGACATGTTTTTTGGGTGTTAGTTCTAGAATGTCTTGTAGGTCTTCATAGAACCATTGAACTTCACCTTCTTCAGCATCACTCGTTGAGGAATAGACTTGGATTCCTGTGCTATTGAATGGTTTGCCTTGGAAGCGAACAGAGATCATTCTGTCATTGTTGAGATTGCATCCAAGTACTGCATTTCAGACTCTTCTCTTGACTATGATGGCTACTTCATTTCTTCTAAGGCATTCCTGCCCACATTAGTAGATATAATATGCAGAGTACATCATGCAAAATATGGGCTGCATGAATTACAAGACAGAATCAAGATCACAGGGAGAAATATCAACAACCTCAGATATGCAGATGACACCACCCTAATGGCAAAAAGTGAAGAGGAACTAGAGAGACTCTTGATGAGGGTGAGAGAGTGAAAAAAGCTGGCTTAAAACCCAGCATACAGAAAACTAAGATCATAGTATCCAGTCCTATCACTTCATGGCAAACCATCAAATGGAGTAAAAATGCAAAGTGTGACAGATTTTTTTCCTAGGCTCCAAAATCACTGTGAACAGTGACCGCAGCCATGAAATTAAAAGACACTTGCTCCTGGGAAGAAAAGCTATGACAAACCTAGACAGCATATTAAAAATCAGTGACATCTCTCTGCTGACAAAGGTCTGTCTAGTCAAGGCTATGGTTTTTCCAGTAGTCATGTATGGATGTGAGAGTTGGGCCATAAAGAAGGCCGAGCTCCAAAGTATTGATGCTTTCTAATTGTGGTGGTGGAGAAGACTCTCGAGAGTCCCTTGGACAGTGAGGAGATTGAACCAGTCAATCCTAAAGGAAATCAACCATAAATATTCATTGGAAGGACTGATGCTGAAGTTGAAGCTCCAATACTTTGGGCACCTGATGCGAAGGGTCAACTCATTGGAAAAGACCCTGATGCTGGGAAAGACTGAAGGTGGGAAGAGAAGGGGATGAGAGACGATGAGATGGTTGGAATGTATCACCAACTCAATGGTTATGAGTTTGAGCAAACTCTGGGAGATACTGAAGGACAGGAAAACCTGGTGAGCTGCAGTCTGTGGGGTTGCAAAGAGTTGTACACGACTGAGCAACTGAACAACAATGCAGTTACAGTTATCAAAGCAGTATGGTACTGGCATAAATATACAAATATACATCAATGGAACAGGACAGAAAACCCAGAAATAAGCCCGAACACTTATGGCAAGCTAATCCATGACAAAGTAGGCAAGTTTACACAATGGTGGAAAGACAGTCTCTTCAACAAATGGTGCTGGGAAAACTGGACAGTGACATGTAAAAAAATTAAATTAGCTTACTCCTTAATTCCATATGCAAAAATAAGCTCAAAATGGATTAAAGATCTTAATGTGAGACCAGACTATATAAAACTCTTAGAGGAAAACATAGGCAGAACATGCTCTAACATAAATCACAGGAGCATCTTTTTTGATCCATCTCCCAGAATGATGATATAAAAACAAAAATAAACAAATGCAACCTACTTACACTCAAAAACTTTTGCACAGCAAAGGAAACAATAAACAAAATGAAAGACAACCCACAGAATGGGAGAAAATATTTGCAAATGATGTGACTGATAAGGGATTAGTCTCCAAAATTTATATTTTATGACGCTTAACAGCATCAAAACAAATAACCCACTCAAAAAATGGGCAGAAGACCTGAATATACATTTCTCCAATGAGGACATACAGATAGGCCTATGAAAAGATGTTCAGGATCTCTAAGTATTAGAGAAATGCAAATGAAAACTACAATGAGGTATCACCTCACACCAGTGACAACAGTTATTTATCTTCAAAAAACACACAAACAACTGCTGGAAAGAGGGTGGTGAAAAGGGAAACCTGTTATACTCTTGGCTGCAATGTAAACTGGTACAGCCAGTATGGATAACAGTATGGAGGTTCCTGAAAAAACTGAAGAGAGCTACCATATGACCCTGCAATCCCACTCCTGGGCATAAAGCTGGAGAAAAACACAATCTGAAAGGAGACACACACCCCTGTCCTTCTCTCATTGCAGCACTGTTTACAATAGCCAAGACATGAAAGCAACTTAAACGTCAATCAACAGAGGAACGGCTACACAAGATGTGGTACATATACACAATGGTGTATTACTCAGCCATTAAAAAGAGTGAAGTAATGCCATTTGCAACAACAAGGATGGACCTACAGAATGTCATCCTGAGTGAAGTCTGTCAGACAGAGAAGGAGAAATGCTGTATGACATCCCTTATGTGTGGAATCTAAAAAGAAGCGATACAAATGAACTTACTTACAAAACAGAAAGAGACTCATAGAGTTAGAAAATGAACTTATGGTTACCAGGGAAAGGAACAGTTAGGGACTTTGGGAAGGGTGTGTACAAACTGCTATTTAAAATGGATAACCAACAGGAACTCTTGTATAGCACATGGAACTCTGCTCAATGTTCTGTGTGCCAGCCAGGAAGGGAGGAGGTCTTGGCGGAAAATGGATACATGTATATGCATGGCTGAGTCCCTCTGCTGTTCACCTGAAACTACCACAACATTGTTAACTGGCTATACACCAATACAAAATGAAAATTTTAAAGTTAAAAAAAAACTCGTGATTGGGAAGATGTGAAGAGGTCAAAATACCAACAGCAACAGGAGTTTGGAAGAAGTTGATTCCAACTCTCACGGATGACTCGAGGGGTTCAAGAACTCAGTAGAGAAGGGAACTGCAGATGTGGTGGAAAGAGCAAGAGAACTAGAATTAGAAGTAGAGTCTGAAGATGTGACTGAACTGCTGCAATCTCATGATAAACCTTTAACGGATGATGAGCAAGGAAAGTGGTTTCTTGAGAAGGAATCTACCCTAGTGAAGATGCTGTGATGACTGTTGAAATGACAAGTAAGGATTTGGAATGTTACATAAACTTAGTTGATAAAACAGCAGCAGGGTTTCAGAGGATCGAGTCCAGTTTTGAAAGAAGTTCTACTGTGGGTAAAACGCTATCACACAGCACTGCAGACTACAAAGAAATCATTCACGAAAGGAATAGTCAGTCAATGCAGCAAACTTGATTGCTGTCTCATTTTAAGAAATTGCCACAGTCATCCAAACCTTCAGCAACCACCACCCAGATCAGCCAACAGCCATCAACATGGAGGCAAGATATCACCCCCGCCAGCTCAAAGATTATGACTTACTAACGGCTAAGGTAACAGTTAGCATTTTATAGCAATAAGACGTCTGTCAATTAAGACATATTTTAAGACATAATGTTCTTGCCCACTTAATAGACTACAGTATAGTGTAAACATGACTTTTATATGCATAGAGAAACCAAACAATTCATGTGACTTGCAGCGGTCTGGAACTGAAACTGCAGTATCAACAGGGTGTGCCTATACATAAGAGGCTCACTGTACTAAATCTCAGTTAATCAAAGAGAGGTATCTCTCCCAGGTTTGGTCAATGGCTTATAAAGAGATTTAGTGTATGGCCAAACCAACCTGCATGTACCCGATCTCATGTCATCTGAGAAGCTGAACCTGGTTAGTGCCTGAATGGGAGATTTATACAAAGATGCACATTTATAAACAGTAAGGAAGAACTGAAGAGTCAGTTATGTAGGAAACACAGTAATTCTGTACCTACAAAGTCCAAGTTCAAAAGCTAACTCTATTATTTTTATACTTTGCAAAAAAAAATAAATAAACTTCTCAGCCTAATTCCTTATATTTAAAGGGAGAAAACTGTAATAATCATTACGCATGGGCTCCCCTGGTGGTTCAGGTGGTAAAGAATTTGCCTGCATTGCAGGAGACCCAGGTTCAATCCCTCGGTCAGGAAAATCCCCTGGAGAAGGGAAATGGCTACCCACTCCAGTATTCTTACCTGGAGAATTCCAGAGACAGAGGAGACTGGCTAGTGACACTCCATTGGGTCACAAAGAATCAGACACAACAGTTCCTGGCATACTGTAGGCAGTGAATAAAAAGGCTCTTTCAATCTGTAGCTAAAGATCTATAAACTATGGGTCCACCAAAAAGAGCTAACACCTATCACAGAGAAATGCAAGGAGAAAAATATTCTAGCACTGTAACTATAATGCAAGGTGACAAAATTTCAATTTTGTTTCTACCTCCTATTCAGGAAGGTCCAAGAAGAGTCCTTTTAAAGCAAAACATATTCTAAGGTGTGTGTAGGGAGTGGGAGAGGTTGCCTCAAATGTTTTTCTTATTGCCATACCTTGAAAGCCCCAAATAAATGTTCCTTGGTTAAGATGCCCTGGTAGGTGACCAAAAAAGTTGGACCAGTTATCGAAGTCGACAAAGACTATGTGAGTCATAGTTCGCAGGTAATCCAAGTCTGGGAGCTCAACAACCTCTTCATCTGAGAAAAAAAAAACATCGACAGGAATTTGAGAAGAATTAGCTAAAAGCTTTTCAACTTGTCAACTTAACATTAATCTTGTATGTTTTTTTTTACTTCTGTCTAACCATGTTGTGAAATCCAAATGACACAGTATATTTATATCAGATAAAAATATTTTGAATATTTCAGAAATAATTGTCCTTTCTACAAATATGTGCCACCGATCCTGGCTTTCTTTAAAAGTCATTTATAAAGGGAATTTTTTAAAAAAATTAGTGTACTGGAAGATCTAGAAGACCAAGCTTTAAGGCTAAATAACTAAAACTCGCACTACTCATCAAAATAAACTTTAGAGGTTGCTTGCTAAGAACTCTCTTGCTACCAGGAGTCTGCTCTTTTCCTAACGTGGACTGACCCGCTGGCACGCCTCTGGCTGTACGCTATGCATGCTGTACATGCCATGCATGTGCTATGCTGGCGCTGTGCAGACACGAGCCCCCCACACACTGCTCCTGGGCGCCTCCCTCCAAGGACACCTCTGCTCTGCTCCCCCAGGGCCTCCCTGCCCTGACCCTCTCCAGCTCTTGTTCCCCTGCCTCTTCCCTCCTGTCACACCTCTCTACTGTGATAGGGTCTTACAGTTTCCCGGGAGCAGTGAAAACCCTGAATGTTTAAAACATTCTTTTAAAAACAGACAGCTTCTACTCCACCTAATAAAGACTGCCTCAGAAAGAGTCTGCCATTCTTTCTCATTTCTAAAACACGTATTTTCTTATCTCTCTTCTTAAAATACTCAGTAATTTAGATTTAGATATGACAAAGACCTCCTGTCAAACACAGACCAACACAAATTCCCCAAAAGGAAAAAACAGAACATTAAACAGTATGGCCACGGTTTCACTGGTAGAAGAAGAGTTGAATGGGGTTGGAGTACGTCATTTAATCATCATAAAACACATGCCTAATGGTGATGCCAAGAGCTACCTGTGCGACAGAGCAAGTCTAAAAATTCAGTAGTTCATAACAATACTTTATTAGCAGAAACTTTTACATATCCTCATTTTTCCACTCTACACTGCATAATTTAGAGTTAATTTTTATTTAAAAGAATACATAATTAAAGTTATACTCAAAAGGAAACAGTCATACTTCTAAACAAAATAAAAACATTGCACTCTTGTAGAGTTCTTCAATCTTATCATAGAAGGAAAGTCTAGAGTAATCCACACCTCAGTATTCTGCCTGGTTTCTTGTTTCCACTTAAAAAACTCAATTTCTAATTGCTATTTTAACTCTAAGTAAAAGCTTTTCTTCCAAAAAGGAGAACGAAAATAAATTCTTAAGTGACCTTTAAGATTTCTCATAGAATAAGGCCAAAAAGAAATCACTGACTTATCTTTTTACTGAATTTTAGTCTAAATGATAGTAACCTGCAGTGTAACTTTCAAATCTGACTTTCAGAAAGACCATCCATTTTCTTTATCTTTCAAAATTTCCAAGTCTTTTGGAAAAGAAAATAAAACGTTATCTAAAATACCTATTAGTGTAACAGGTATCCTTTGTCCCCTCAGGTTAAGATGGTAGTTGCACGAAGCGGCGGGAACACAGATCTCCGTACCCAGGGCAGTACTGATCACCCCCATCTCACCCCACCGCAGGCGGGCTGCCGCCTGGCGCACACCTATCAATCACCAGCACGTGGGACGCACCTGCGCTCTGGCCGCTCAGCTCCATCTCAGCGGCTCTCTCCGGTTCTGCAGTCTGCAGCCCGCCTGCGGTCTGTCTGGCCTTCCTCTCTGCCCGGACGGGTGGTGGGCTCTTGGGCTCGGCCGCAAGGCAGGCCCCGACGGGCCGCCGCAGCGAGCAGTGCTTCCTGTGGAAGTGCTGCTGCGCGCTCTCGGGGTCCTGGAAGGCCTTGGTGCACGTGCCGCACTTGATGAGGCCCCGCGGTGGGGCCTCCAGGTCCGCATGCACCTGGCGCACGTGCGTGTGCAGGTCACCGAGGCTCTGAGTTGTGGCTGAGCAAACGCCACAGCGGAACCACAGGCGGCCCTGGCCCAGCAGGGTCTGCAGACAGCGGCCATGGTCCTCCCGCCTGTTAACTTTGCAGAGGTAGCTCTCGCGGCAGCCGCAGGTCAGCAGATTACCCGTCTCTATTACTGGAAAATCACTCTCCGTTTTAATGGAAGGTTCCGTTTTTTCTGACACAAATACATAGTCTGTGCTGTGGTGCTCCTTATAATGAGTCAAAAACTCATCTTCCATGTTAAAACTCAGATCGCAGAGCCCGCAAAAGTACTTCATCTTTACCTCACTGTCGTGCTCATCTTGGCAATGTCGTTGTAATGTTTCCATCTTGTGAAAAGTCTTTTTGCAATGGGTGCAGCTGTACCTGTGAAACTGGTGACTTGTTAAAGACATGCAGTGTTGCTTTACACATTCTTGGGAGTCAAACATATCTTCACAAATTCGGCATTGCCATTTACCCCTTGGAGGACCGCTTGCTGGGGAGTGATCAACAATAGTAATAGCTGAAGGCTTCTCAGCAGTCAGATCACTCCTCAGTGCTGTAGAGGATGATGGCAAAGTGTCACCTTCCACCTCATCCGTCTCATAAAAATACCTGTGTCCACTGTGAAACTCAGTCACATGGGCCATTATAGCCTCTTTCCTCCTCAACTCCTTTTTGCATGTCCGACACCAGAAAAGAAAGTTATTTAAATGTGCCCCTCCATGAATGCGGCTCATGTGTAAACGGATGACTCCCAAATCTTCACACACCTTCCCACAGACCACACACTTGTAACACATTGTGTTTGCTGAGAAAACATGCTTTTCTACTGCATCTTCACTCGGGAAGCGTTGATGGCATTCACAAAACCAGGTTTTAACAAGTGACCTTTCCTTCTGAAAACAAACCACACCCCCATGGCTTTTAACTCCTAAATTCATCTTCTTTTTTGGAACAGTGCTGCAATCCTGTGAGCTAGATTCTTGAGAGGACATATTTCTTTTCAGTGATGAAAATTTTGACTCATCTTGCAACAGGTGCAAGTCAGAATGAGGTTTGTTCCCTTCACTGCTGTGGCAATAAAGTAAGATTGATTCTTCCATTGAGTTAATGACTCGGACTTTGTGTCCTGAATTCTGCTTGTGATTCCAGGTACTGGTTTCATCCACAAAGACATGGTTGCAATGTGGACAGTAACCTCTCAGTAGGAATTTCTCTGCCACCTGAGCAATGCTCTTCTCAGCTAGAGCTACAGGACCAGCATTTCGACAACGAACTCTAAATTGGATAAAAAGATAAAACTTGTAAGTATTTCTAAATGAAGTTTCTCTGCTTTTTATTGTAGTAATTATTAAGTAAACATGTGTACATAAGCACTAAAGATTGTTTTTCAACAAAGAGACAGATGATATAATAATATCCTATCTACCTGAACATTATCTAGATTTTGTCTGGTATTAATCCATATACCAAAGGATAAAACTAGAATCAAAAATTTTTTTTTTTAATCCAGACAAATTTTAGAAAAGTAGAAACAATGTAAAATGCACTGACAGAAACGGTATGAGACAAGCAGGTAACTAACTTCTCTACGGTAAGTTCAACAGTACAGAGGAACACGACAGTGACATTCTCAACAACCTGGGGCCTGTTCTTTAAGAATGGACTGATTTTACATCAGGAATATGCCATGCTCACGGCTGCTTTTACACTAAAAAGTGTCCAACATCACTGTTCATCAGGGAAATCCAGATTAAAACCACACTGAGACTCTCAAAAGAACAACTAAAATGAAACAAGATTGGCAACAGCAAACCTTGGCAAGGATGTAGAAAAACTGCAACTCTCACACCTGGCTGGTAGAACATGCACCAGTACACACTGGGAAAATGTCGAGTAGAGACTTATAAAATTAAACACACATCTACTCTTTGATCTCGCAATTCCAATCCTAGATATTTATCCAAGAGAAATGAAAACATATGTCTATAAAATACTTTGTATAAAATGTACATAATAGCTTTATTCACAACAGCTAAAAACTGAAAAAAAGGTCCACCAACATGAGAATGAATACGCAAATTGTGCTATATTCATACAATAGACTACTACTCACAAATAAAAAAGAACAATTAACTAAACAACATGGATGAATCTTACAGATACTATGACAAAAACAAAAGAGTGCATACTATATACATGATTCCATCTACATGAAGATCTAGAGGAGATAAATCAATGTAAGGGAGGAAAAATATCGCAACAGACTGCCTGGGGACGAGAGGGCGGGAGATGACCAGGAAGGGAAGGATGGGCTGACAGCTGTATCCAGTCTACAAATCATAAAGGTTAAGGGGGCAGAGGGCTAGAAATGAAAAACACATGAAAAAAAAATCAAAGGTTAAGATCTGTATACTTCAATAAATTGAAATAATATGTCAGAAACAAAGAACTATAAACAATCATTAAGCGTGGTAAGGTGCATACAGATATGTAAGAATGGCAGTGTTGAGCATTATCAAAGTTGGATAAATAGGGTTCACTATACTAGTCTGTTGACGCGCATACAGTGAAATTTTCCATGAAAAAATTAAGAATAAAAATCCTGGAAGAAGGAGGATTTGAACTCATGAACTCAAGAAATACAAGTCAGAACTAGGACTGTTAACATTAGTAATTACACGGAGTCTATACAGAGTAATTATACTCAGCTGCCTGTTTTTTTGAGAATGTATTTTACTTGAAAGTTTGTGAAAACAATTGTTCTAAGTAAACAAATGCAACTATATCACTTACTAGATACAAACTTTTAATGCATTTTAAGGAAATAAGAAGGGGGGAGACCTAAGAGCATCAAATGCAAAGTACAGTCTTTGAATTATGATTCCAACAAACCAAATGTAAAAAACTTCATGAAGTGACCAGGGAAAATTTGATAACTGATTAGATGTTTGATGATATTAAAAAACTAGTTTTTCAGGTATCATGGTATTACAGTTATTTTTCTTTTAAAAAAAAAAAAAAAAAGAGCACTTATGATGCCTAGGTATATCCTGGAGTATTTACAGATAAAATGACAAGATTTGCTTCACGGGGATGACAGTGTCATGTAGTGATAACTACTGAAGCCTAGTGACAGATGCATTAGGGCTTATTATACTCTCATTACTTTTGTATATTCCTTGATAATTTTCATTGTAAAGACAAAAACATCACCCTCGATTATTTGATCAATTTGGCCTGACTGACATGCAATTTTTCACACGTTTGTCATCCTTTCCATGCTAGCTGACTCAAAGCCAACATTCTGTCTTAACCTCCTCTTCCCACAGGCACAACCCTCAACAACCCACACAAAACTCAGAACTGTCAGCTTGTTTTACATCTACAGCAGTGTCAATGAATCCACTTTTCCCACACCTCTCCTCTTATTATGGTAAATTTGGGTAATGTCCAGGCAAATTTCCACTCTCATTTTAAAGGAGAGAAACACAGAATAGAAAACCAATTGCTGAATCCCCTGCTGGTGAAGAGCTGTTTGGGCAGGACAGTACAAACCTGAAATGGGCAGTAAGCTCCATGTGGGAACGCAGGGTCTGGTGGCAGGCCACACACTTAACTTGAAATGGAACATCTTTGCACAGAGAGATCAAAAGTTTCTTTGCAAAAGATGGAAATGATATTGGCTGTGCCACTGTCTTGTCATCTGAAAGACAAAATGAACTATAATTTGCAAAGATTTGAGTGGAGTGACCCGGCCTTCCTCCCCTCTGCTTTCCTCAACATCTGATTAGTAAATGAAAGAAGATAGTTATTTATGTGATAAAAATCTAAGAAAAGTCATTTTCTAGCTTCAATTAAGTGTAATGGATGCTGAACTCATGCTCAAACTAAAATCTGAGTTTAAATGCAGGGAAACACCCAACTTCCCATTGTGCCTAAATGTTTTCTTGCCAAATTTGTCTTCATTCCTCAAAGTAAACCTTACTCTTAAGATACAGATAAATACTAAGAATCTTTTTGAAAAATAAAACTGAGATAAACAATCTTTCACTTTCATGGTTCCCAAAATTAATATGAAAATAAGTTATCTCAAGAATTATCTGAGATTTACAGTAAATCAGCAAAGGTTAAAGGAGTTTAATAATTTTCATCAGAAGAGAATATGAACATACCACCCAGTTTAAAACTCTGATGGAAATGATTCTTTCCAGACATATGCTTCAAACACTCATCCTTGCTGCTAAAAAGGAGGAAGCAATTTGGACACGCAAAACACTGAATAATCTGAGGAAGAAGGTTGTTTTTATGTCCATCATCTGCATCTTCCTAAAATATAAGGCAAAGCTATATTACAGACAACGAAAATCAATATTCAGTTTCTTAAGTCAACTTTCAAAATAACCTATTTATTATACATTTGGAATATTTTGTATCAGTTGTTAACATGAAAACTTTTCTTCTCTGAGGGTGAACTGTGGAATTGTTTTATCATAAATAAGGTCCCATATATGAAATTTTTTATTTTTTCCTTAAAAACAAATTGTTACCATCTTTTTGTGACAATAAAGATAAAAGTATGTCTGTTTTCTAGACATTTTATAAATACATATGCAATATTATATAAATGCATAAATGTTTTCACATCATATATGTTTTCTTGTTTTGCTTTTTTGCCCTCTCTGCAATATAACCTATGTTTACAAATATGTATTCTTCCATAAATTTCTCCATGTTTGTCATTTATAAAAAATATACAAAAATAAATATACAAGGGGAACTGTCATTGTTTTATCAAGTATTGTCATCTTACAGATTCTTCTGCCTCTCAGTTTTCTTTCCATAATATCTAACAGAAATCCCTAAAAATCAACTGGTGTCACTCTAATTTTCTCTTTGTAATGGTTACAAACTACTTCATGGTGCAGATCTACTAAGATTTAGTCAACTATTCATTTTCAGGCTTTTTTTTTTTTTTTTTGCCACTACAATGATTTTGTAAATATATTTATAAAAATATATTGTTGACTACATATCCTTATTATATACTGCTTTCTCCTCATTATCAGGAGTGGCCCTATTGGGTTAAACGTTTTTTGATATTTAAAAGATACTGTGTAATTGCTTTTCAAAAAGATTTTACCAATTCAGGTGCCCTAGCACCAAATGAGTCTGGCACAGGCTATTATGGACCTTATTTTCATGTCTGCAGTCTTACAGACATGTGCTATGTTAACTTGCCTTTCCCGTCTACTTGTGCTATGAGCTTTCACTCATATAATTCTGTGCGTTGCTTACTCCATTCCAGCCTCAGGTTTTGCTTATTTTTTCCCCTCTGGTCAACCTGTATCCATTCTTTGTTATCAAAACTAACTCTGTCTCATCCTCCAACTTTAAAATATTTTTCATCAAACACCTATCTATTAATTTTGTATACGGTCACCTTAAAATTCTGAAAGTCAAATGGGCATGCCTTTGTAGTGTCCAGGTTTCCAAACCTGGTTAAGAGCTTCCTCTATTTATTTTTATTTCCATCATTCTAGGAGGTGGGTCATAGACGATCTAGCTGTAATTTATGTCAAAGAGTATTCTGCCTACGTTATTTCTTCTAAACGTTTTATAGATTCTGGCCTTACATTTAGATCTTTAAACCATTTTGAGTTTACTTTTGTGTATGGTGTGAGAAAGTGTTCTAATTTCATTCTTTTACAGGTGGCTGGCCAGCTCTCCCAGCACGACTTGTCCTTTCTCCATTGTATATTTTTGCCTCCTTTGTCAAAGATAAGGTACCCATAGGTGCAAGGATTTATTTCCAGGCTTTCTATCTTGTTCCACTGGTCTATATTTGTTTTTGTGCCAGTACCATACTGTCTTGATGACTGTAGCTCTGTAGTATAGTTTGAAGTCAGAAAGGTTGGTTCCTCCAGCTCCATTCTTCTTTTTCAAGATTGCTTTGGCTATTCATCAAAAATTTACAAATAGTAAATGCTGGAGAAGGTGTGGAAAAAAGGGAACCCTCTTACACTGTTGGTGGGAATGCAAATTGATAAGGCCACTGTGGAGAACAGCATGGAGATTCCTTAAAAGAAAAAACTAGGAATAAAACTGCCATCAGTTTAGTTTAGTCGCTCGGTCGTGTCTGACTCTTTGCAACCCCATGACCCACAGCCCGCCAGGCTTCCCTGTCCATCACCAACTCCCAGACCTTACTCAAACTCATGTCCATTGAGTCGGTGATGCCATCTAACCATCTCATCCTCTGTCATCCCCTTCTCTTCCTGCCTTCAATCTTTCCAGCATCAGGATCTTTTCCAATGAGTCAGTTCTTTGCATCAGGTGGCCAAAGTATTGGAATTTCAGCTTCAGCATCAGTCCTTCCAATGAATATTCAGAACTGATTTCCTTCAGGATTGACTGGTTGGACCTCCTTGCAGTCCCAGGGGGCTCTCAAGAGTCTTCTCCAACACCACAGTTCAAAAGCATCAATTCTTCAGCACTCAGCTTTCTTTATGGTCCAACTCTCACATTCACACATGACTACTGGAAAAACCATAGCTTTAACTAGATGGACCTTTGTCAGCCAAGTAATGTCTCTGCTTTTTAATATGCTGTCTAGGTTGTCATAGCTTTTCTTCAAAGGAGCAAGCGTCTTTTAATTTCATGGCTGCAGTCACCATCTGCAGTGATTTTGGAGCCCCAAAAAGCAAAGTCTGTCACTGTTGCCATTGCTGCCCCGTCTATTTGCCATGAAGTGATGGGACCAGATGCCATGATCTTAGTTTTCTTAATGTTCAGTTTTAAGACAAATTTTCACTCTCTTCTTCCACTTTCATCAAAAGGCTCTTTAGCTCTTCTTCACTTTCCACCATAAAGGTGGTGTCATCTGCATATCTGAGGTTACTGATATTTCTCCTGGCAATCTTGATCCCAGCTTGTGCTTCATCCAGCCTGGCATTTCACAAGATGCACTCTGCATATAAGTTAAATAAGCAGGGTGACAATACACAGCCTTGACGTACTCCTTTCCCAATTTGGGACCAGTCTGTTGTTCCATGTCCAGTTCTAATTGTTGCTTCTTGACCTGCATACAGATTTCTCAGGAGGCAAGTCAGGTGGTCTGGTATTTCCATCTCTTGAAGAATTTTCCAGTGTGTTGAGATCCACACAGTCAAAGGCTTTGGCATAGTCAATAAAACGTAAGTAGATGTTTTTTCTCTTGAACTCTCTTGCTTTTTCGATGATCCAACAAATGTTGGCAATTTGATCTCTGGTTCCTCTGCCTTTTCTAAAAACCAGCTTGAACATCTGGAAGTTCACGGTTCACATACTGTTGAAGCCTGGCTTGGAGAATTTTAAACATTACTTTGCTAGCATGTGAGATGAGGGCAACTGTGGAGTGGTTTGAACATTCTTTGGCATTGCCTTTCTTTGGGATTGGAATGAAAACTGACCTCTTCTAGTCCTTTGGCTGGAAACTATCATATGACCCAATAATCCCATTACGAGGCATATATCTCAAGGAAACAGTAATTGAAAAAGACACATACACCCCAATGTTCACTGCAGCACTATTTACAACAGCTGGGCAATGGATGAAACCTAGACGTCCACTGGCAGATGAATGGACAAGGAATACTACTCAGCTATAAAAAGGAACACATGTGAGTTAGTTCTAATAAGGTAGATGAACCTAGAGCCTATATTACACAGCATGAAGTAAGTCAGAAAGAGAAAAACAAGTCTATATTAACACGTTTATATGGACTCTAGAAAGATGGTACTGATGTTTCTATGTGCAGGGCAGCAAGGGAGATGCAGACGTAAAGAACAGAGTTTTGGACGCAGAGGGGGAAGGAGAGGGTGGGATGATTTGAGAACCTAGCATTGAAACATACATATGACTATATGTAAAACAGATAGCTAGTGGGATCTGCTGCTGAGAACCTAGAGAGGCAGGGGTGGGATGGGGTGGGAGGTGGGAGGGGGAGGTCCAAGAGGGAGGGAACATATGTATACCTATGGCTGATTCATGCTGATATATGGCAGAAACCATCACAATATTGTAAAGCAATTATCCTCCAACTAAAAATAAAAATATAAAAACAGAATCTCATGATCCCCCAAAAAAAAAATTTTAAAAAAGAGCCATGTCTATCCCAAAATTGGAAATTTTTTTTATGTATACAAATGGAAATATTTTTAAGTGTGCATTTATATGTGTATGTACATGTACGCATGCTTGTGTATAAATATAATTTGTTAATAGTCTTTAGAGTAACAGCCTTAAAAGTTGTATTGTGTCTTCCTAAATTTCTATCATTAGCATTAGGTATACACAATAGTTTGTGTAGTTGCTTATGAGATGCAACAGGAGAAGGGACAGGAAATTCACATTCATACTAAGTACATTATGGTTCAAATGTGCTTTTCCACTTAATCCTTACAATAACCCATGAAGTACTATCTTCATTATTTACTAATGAGAAAGCTAAAGTTTAGGGAAGTCAACAAAACCACCACTCCCCTTCACGCTGCACCCTCAGAAGACACAGGGCTGCCATTCACCGAGCCTTATAGCTTTGGTGGTGAATCCTGTGCTCTTTTCGTCACTCTTCACCCATTTTATTTTGGTGACAGCCATCAAAAAGATAACTCCTAGTATGACTTTCTAGAAGGTTCCAAACATGAGCACTAAAAGCATTTACTAACTTATACACATAACTTACCAATTTACATCCATGTCCCCTACTTGAAGAACTCTAAGAAAATAAGCTGTAGTTCAAATGTGAGTTATAACTGGATTCAAAACAAGTGGGTTTAAATTGTTTGCGCAATAGAATAAAATTGTGATTCCACATAAAATTTTATGGGAATATACCTAATTGCAAAGGTATAGCATATTTGCAAGTATCTTCCAAAAACCAGGAGAAGGAATGGGAAATACAATGTCTTGTAAGCTAAAAGTACTCAAATCCCTTTTACCACTGTATTTCCAGTCATATTAAATCAAAATACAGCATAGAAATTAGAACCACAACAAGATATCACATCATAGACACCCCTAGGATGGGTATTTTACAGACAGATAATAAGTGCTGGCAAGGATGTGGAGAAACTGGAATCCACACACATTAGTGTGTGTTAGCAGGAAAACAAACACACACTGCGCTGGATAACAATTTGGCAGTTCTTTAAAAACTTAAGCATAATAACTGAATGGCCCAAAAATTAACTCACTAGAGAATGGAAAACATATGACCACCCAAACACTTGTACATTTGTTTCTATTAGCATTATTCACAACAGTCAAAAGTGGAAATAACCCGTGT